AGATTACATCAAAATTCCCCGTGTCTAACCCTATCACGATCTACATTCAATTTCCTATTTGCTATCTCCATGGCACAAGTCCTGTAGATAACTTTCCTAATAGTGTTTCATCCCCAGCAGTAGACACAGACAAAAATGAATCAAGTTTATTAGGTGATACATTAAGTTTGGAAGCAAAAACATGTGAAACAAATGAATGCGTTGCACCAGTGTCAAATAAAACATGAGTAATATGGTCACAGATAGTGTACATACCCTGTACCACATCCGGGTCGGCGTCGGCATCCTGCTGGGTAAGATTGTAAACCCTGCCTTGAAAAAGAGGTCTTCCTTGGTTCGGGTTCCTCGAGCACTCTCTCGCATAGTGCTGGACACTGCCACATATGCGACAGGTATTGTTGAGGCGGTAGCATGGTCTTTCCCCGTGATCCCTGCCATAGTACTGACAGATCTTTCCACGTGCTGCCCCTGGAGCCTGAGGAGGGGCCTGGATCACTGGTCTGGGCCTCTTATTTAGTTGGACCGGCGCAGTGGGTGCTGGTTTGTGGGGTGGAGCTGAGGGTCGGTGACTCCCTGCTGACTAAGGACGGGTGTTGAAACTCCTCTCCACAATCTGTGCCTTTGCTAGAATGGCTGAGTATGTCTTGAGCTCCAGTACCAATAAGTGTTGTTTAATTTCTGGGCGGAGGCCCCACTGGAATCTTTTGGCCTTCCTGCCTTCATCCATCAATGTCTCCGGGGAGTATCGACCCAACTCTAGGAACTTACGAGCATATTTCCATACCGTCATGTTTCCCTGGACCAGCTGAATAAACTCCATCTCCTTCAGGTGTCGGATGTGCTCAGGGAGATACTCCGCATGGAAGGCCGCTAAGAACTGCTCCCAAGTGGCTGGTGTAGGCAGGGTGGTCTTCTTGAGCTCCCACTAACGACCTGCTTCCCCTACCAGCATGTAGGAAGCAAGGGCAGCTCTCTACTCGGGAACCACTCCTAAAGGTCTTGAAAGCTCTCTCAGTCTCCGCCAACTAGTACTGGGTATCTTTAAAAGAGGATCCCCCTGCAAAAGTGGAAGGGTTCAGTCTCCTGTACCTCTCTATGTAGCCTGGGTCGATCAAGGAAGGAGCTGGATCCCGTGGAAGAGGGACTGGGCCCAGCTGGGGATAGACTGGGGGGCCCTGTGGTGGCACCTGCTGATATGGTGGGGGCACCGGATTATACTGTGGTGGTGCCGGGCAGTACGGTGGCTAGGGCACTGGTTCATACTGCAGGGGTGGTGCCGGGTGGTACTGTGGTGGAGCAGGCTTGTGCCGGGATGGCTCGGGATCCGCTTGCTGTAGTGGTGGCTCAACCCGTGGTAGTGGGGGAGGTTCGGGTAACTCCCTTCTCTCCTCTCGACCTTGCTAGGCAGCCATGATCCTTTCCAACATCTCAAATATTCTATCCACATCTTCCCGAAGCGAATCATCCTGGGCTGCTCGGTTTAGTGGGGGTCTTCCTCTCCTCATTTCTTTGCACCTGCATTTCACACGGAAGAGTTGAGTAACAATTTATAGGTGGGTATTTCTTTAAGCATTATTCTGTAAGGGATGAGTCCGAGGAACGTAGCTCTGATACCAACTGTAACGACCCCGAAAATTTAAATGAAGATGTATGTATTAAAAATTCTAAGTGCGGAAGCGAAATAAAAATCTGATTAACATCCCTTACATAATAACCAAAAACATATCCAACGTATGAAAGAATAAGCTAATTAAAAGAAATACTTTAAATAAAAATTATAAATAGAACTATAAAATCTTTAGGCGTCTAACTCGTCGTGTTCCTGCGGAACGGGCTCGGGAACCACGTCTTCCTAATCTGAAATGGTTAAGTAAGGAATAAGCTACAATAGCCCAGTAAAGACATCACGCTATCTCATTGCCACAGAAGTAAAGGTTGGTAGAAAACAAAAACGACCAATAGAGCATAATTTATGACAAACTCATTTATTAATAATAAAAACCTTTACTGTCCATTTACCTCGGTGAGATTCATGAAAATAACATATGAAAACAATAACATTATAACCATCATAAAATCATATACACTTTGTAACATAACACATGTTATACTTTTGCACTTCAATAATCAGACAACAATTCTCCTCTTTTACGAACCTACTAGTATCCGTGGGGATCCATAGGGGGTCCCCGCTACACGTGAACCATTAACATTAATAATCTGATTCCAGAGCCGTCCCCATACCCCGTCCGGTATGGGCGCCAAAACCATGAACCTCAATACCCCGTCTGGTATGAGGGTGAAACGGGCCGTCCCCATACCCCATCCGGTATGGGCGCCAAAACCATAAACCTCAATACCTAGTCTGGTATGAGGGTGAAACGGGCCGTCCCCATACCCCGTTCGGTATGGGCACCAAAACACATAAGGTCTCCATACCCTGTCCGATATGAGAGACCAAGTTCCCGGTAGGGTTCCCTACGGATCCGGTCCATCCACCATCTCCTAGGATATCTAGTCAGGCTATCCACATTATCCATTTATCAATTCACATAATCTTTTTTCCCATTTTCTTTGGTCTCAATTATCCAATCATACACAAACATGTAAACCAATAATGAACACCAAATAAAACAACACAACATCGGGTTTACCATAATTCAAACCATAATAAAAGAAACCATGATTCATGCATACGAAACCATAAAATAAATACATCAAATACCATACTGCATTTAAAATTGTAAAATAACTAAAACAGCAACTGACCGAAAATATATCAAACTCAGGCTCCATTAGCAACCTTAATTAATTATACATATCTATTAATTCACAAAATGTCATTTTATTATTTATTGAGCTTTAATACCGTGATAGGAAATAGGGTGAGAAATTCTTACTTGTTTCTGGGTCTGAAATCGGCTCTACAATGCGCCTACGGGCTGTCCCTAAATTCCCTAAGTTTTCTCCGGAAAACTGAAACGCACTATCGGTATCTGCGCGTGTCCAAAAAAATCCCAAATTAGACCCAGGGCCCTTTTTCGGCTAATATCAGAATTCTGGCACAGCGGTTCCGCCGTGCTCCAGCGACGGCACTGCCGCCCGCGACGGCGATTCGCCTCGGGTTGGCCGTTTTCAGCCGAATTCGACCAAACTTGCATTAGTTCCTGCGTTAAAACAACCCTAGGACCCTCGGTGGGCCAAAAAATTACGAAAAACTGAGATTTACCGGCGGCGGAGCTTTCGGGTGCGGCGGCTTCTCCGGCGCGAGTCGCGGTTTGATGTTTTGCTCCAGTCACCTGTAGAGAAAAGGACGGTGATCACAGTGGTGTAAAAATTGCATCGAACGGGAACTGGAAAGGGCCTCATCAGAGGCAAAAATCGAGGGAAGCCGCGGCGGCGCCGCTGGACTTCGGCGATGTTTTCTGGCCGATTGGCCGGTGGTTTGGCTCCGATTTGGCCATAGGCGGATTCAACATCGAAAAACGAGCCAAGATGAGAAAATTTACCTCGTTTGGCGGTCGAAAAACCCTCCGGTGCGGCGGCGGGTGGCGACGGCCGGCTCCTCCGGCGACTGGTCCTTCTTCTCCGGTGAGGGTACTAGCGGCTAGGGTTTGGGGTCGGGTGTGGGTGAGGTTATTTATAACCTTCCCTTTTTAATCTCAGCCGTCCATCACGATTTAATCTGAGCCGTCCGATCACGATTAAAATAGCAATAAATTTGGGTAGTCCATCGCGATGCGATCTGGGCCATCCGTGCGTGATTCAATCTTGGCCGTCCGCACGCGTGAGATCTGGGTCGTCCGTGCGCGTGAGATCTGGGCCGTTCGCACGCGGGAGATCTGGATCGTCCGATCGCGTGCACGCGGATCGCTCACGTGGTTTCGTCCCGCGTGGCCTCTCGCGTTAGCTTCCTTGCCACGCAGCGTGTTCTGGTTGGCCAAGGCTGCTGACTGAGCTGCTGACGTGGCACAACTTTCTTAAATTGCGTTTTGACCCCCGGTTTCCGATTTTTCTTTCAAAAACACCATCAGAATCTAAATTTTCACCCATTTTTTTCAAAATCAATTTCAATTAAATCTCAAAAATAATTTTACCTTATTTTATCATTATTATTATTTTTATTTTTATTAAATTAAATTAAATTAAATTAAAACTTTATAAATTAAATTTTAAAAAATTAAACTAAAATTTTAATATAAATTAAAATAAATTAAAAAATAAAAATAATAAATTTGGATGTTACATTTCAGATGCAAGGAGGCAGCATAGAGAAGATAATAAGATACACTCATCATATTATTACCATGAATGTAACATTTATAGACTCATATAAAAAATTGCATCTCCTTGACATTGTGGAGATTGAATGAATAACAAATTGCATCCTCTATACAAGGAACTTTGAATGTACAGCATCCAAATAATGGTACTCACTGAGCTCCTGCATTCATTTTGTCAATCCAACTCTTTGATTCATTCAAAACTTAAGGCTACAAGATCAGTCCATCCTTCACAAGTTGCTCTAGCCAAGTTGCTAACTCTGACATTGTAGGTCGCTCGCTTGAATTTTCCGTTACTGCCAACTCTGCTATATCAGCTAGTTTAAGCAATGGCTCAACATTTCTTGGAAGAGCAACATACCGATCAATTATGGCTGCTGCCTTACCTCGTTTAATTAAGGGCATTGCCCACTCAATTATATTTGGAGGCATGTAATCTCTGTCATATGCCTTCCTTCCGCTGAGAATCTCTAGCAGTACAATCCCAAAATTGTAAACATCACTTTTTGTATCTCCAGAAAGATCTTTGTCATTTGGAGTAAGAAGCCCAAAATCTGCAATTCGTGCAACCCAATCAGAATCCAAAAGAATATTTGAACTGTTCACATCGCGGTGGACAATAGGTGGAAAAACCTCCTTGTGAAGGTACTCGAGCCCCTTTGCAGCCTGCATCAAAATTTTTAATCTAAGGTTCCAATTCAAAGGTGAAAGCCCACCGTGGAGATGGTCATGAAGTGTTCCATGAGGCATAAACTCATAAATGAGAAGCCTCTCCCCCATCTCCGAACAGTAACCCAACAAATTTACAATATTACAATGTCTGATATTGCAAAGGATTTCCAACTCCGTTTCAAATTCTCGGCTGTTGGTGTGGATTATTGTGGCAGCATTAGCCCTCTTGACTGCGACTTGCCGACCATCGGTGAGGACAGCACGGTAAACAAAACCAAAGCTCCCCCTACCTAGCTCATTGAACTCTTTGAACCCATTAGTTGCATCTTTCAGCTCTGAGAGTCGGAAAACTTGAGCTGCTCCAGGGCAGGATGCCACAGATGGAGGAGGAAGGGAGTTTGCATCAGCATCCATCTCTGGTTTTCCTATACAAGATTTGAATTGCCTTTTAGTCCCTTCTTCTTTACTGGTGGCAAAAAGACATCGAAGAATACACCAGCTAACAAGTATCAATAGAAATCCCAATATACAGGATCCAATTATGAGCATCAGTCGACGAAAGTGATGCCAATGCTTCTCCGGAGATGATTGAATCCCACAAACATCCCAACAAGAACTGTTTTGACAAAGAGAACAAGCAGTGCATACCCTATCAGCATTAGGGGTACATGGGCTAGACAAGAAATATCCTTGAGAACAGTTTGACCCACAAGGTGAACAAATCTTTAAATCTTTCCTAATACACAAGCTTATCAAATCTGGTTCATTGAGAATGCTTGCATTGAATGCAAACTCCCTTTCACCGCAAGGGCCAGCACTACAAAGTCCTGGACTGCACAATTCCAATGGAGGATCATAATCAGGCAGCGAGGAGGAATTAGCAAACCAGCAATCAAGAACTAAATCAACTTCCCTAATACCGCACGTAGTGAAATCAGAGGAAGCAATGGCCATAAACCCAGAACCCTTTGGAACAGAAGAAAAATTAAAGCTTCCCCAACACTCAACCCCATGATTATCCTCTCGAATCCCACAAAAGTGGTGAGCACCGGCTGTTAAAGACACGAAGCGAATCCCAACTGGAGGGGCAACAGACAAATCAATATCACCCCAGCAACTCACTTCACGAGAGGACTCTAAAATCCCACAAAGAGAAGCCTTCGATGAAGCTAAAACCATGAAGTCTCCTGATGCATCTGAGAGTTCCAAATCAGATGAGTTTGGTCCCCAGCAAAAAATCCCTCCTTGTCTTGCCTCACCACAACTAAATCCTTCACCAGACACAACCTTTCTAAACACAAGATTAGCAACAGATTGATTATAAAAAAGATCACTCTGTTTTGAGCTGATGCTATTATTAGAGCCCCTCAAAATCTCCCAACAATCAACGGTGCCCGATTCGTGATCAGAATAGTAAGATCCTCGAACAGCACAAACATGGTTCTTTCCAGCAGCAATATGCGAATAAGCAGTGGTTCGAGAAATGGAAGGAACAAGATCCGTACCTGACTCCAAAGAGCTCCAACAGAAAGCCTGCGAGTTGTTCGCTAAAATGCCGCAGAGAAATCCTTCACCACCGGAGAGAGCTGCCATTGGAGGAACATCGCCGAATGGAGTGGATTCTGCAGATAGTAACAAAGTCGAAGATGGGGACGACGAAGTTGACGATGAGGACAGAGAAGACGCATTCTTTCCCCAGCAGACAACATCCTGTTTGCCGCTAGCATCGATTGCGCAGAAAAAGGCATCATCCCCGAATGCCGCAGAGATAGGGCCCATGGATCCGAACCCAGAAGCAGGAGTAGACCACAGAAGGAGAAGAGAGAGAAGAAGAAGAAGAAGAAGAAGAAGAAGATAACAGAGGAGTCGCATCGTGCATGGGTTAAATGAAAGTTTTCTGTGCGGATCAAGAAATGATTCATGTACTACAGAGTGAGAATGGGAGTAGCATTTGTATTACAAGGAAGAAAGAGAGCTCCCATGGAGCTGATGATTCTGACGATGACAGAGTCTGAATGTCGCCATTGTTGTTGATTTTTTTTTTTAACAGAATTTACTTTGTTGAAACGTTGAAAGGTTTCAACTTTCAAAGATCCATAACAAGCATTTACCGCGAATAATTTCTTACTAATTTTCCTTTTTCAATCCTTTTTGTCTTTATTTCCAACTTCTTTTTCTCTTTTTCCTTAAAAAGTCTTTTGGCTTTTTCGGAAAATAAAATCTTTTGAGTTAAATATTTTATTATTTCATCATCAACAATTTCTTTTTTTGTTCTTCACCATTTTTGTTACTGTAATAAATATATACAGATTAATTATATAATGTAAACAAAATTATATGGAAATAGAAAAATTTCTTATAAAAATATAAAATTATTATACGTTAATTTTATCTAAAGACCTGCAAAATAAATAAGAGGTGATGAAAAAATTTTATATAGTACATAGTTTCAGAGTTTATAATAAATTACATGAAAATATAATTATCTTCAAATTCTAATTTTTTATTTAAACAAAAAGATAATTATTACATTAAATAAATAATTATTCTATATTATTACATTAAATGAATAAATAATTATCACTTATTTTATCACATTATTTTTAGTTTAATATATTCAAATTATTTTTCTATTATAACATAAATAAATAACTATTATTTCTATTATTATACTAAATATAAAATTATTTTAAAAAA